TTGACCCCTATTTATGGTTTTAATGATTTTTGCCTAAAAAATTTTAAAATACATTAAAATTAATTTCTAACATATTAAAAATATTAAAATGAAATAAAATACACTGTTTACAGTATTTATTTCTTTACCATGCCAGATGAATGCATACTGTACCGTACAGTATTGTTAAAATTATGTAGACCTATGAGCTTAGAAAATGGTTAAGAACATTAGAAGTGAGAAAGGTTTATAAGAGTGTGAGAAGGGTTTATAAAGTCTTAAAATATATTTAAATACTAAAATAAATAGAACGCCCCTACTTGGCTGATTTTCACTTACTGCAGGGGTGACTGGAATGGAACCTCTGATAAGTGAGGGACCACTGTATTCCTCTTATTTCTCTCTAGCATTTCTCCATAAACGAATTATTTGTAATACAACAGGACCTTCTTTCGTTGGTTATTCTGATAGCTACCAATCCTTATTAACCACTAATTTTTCCTTTTTTTTTTTTTTTTTAAATGTATTTAGTACAGGGTCTACAGGATCTCACTACACTGATCAGACTCCTAATGATCCTCCTGTTTTCAGCCTCCCAATACTGGGATTACATGCCACCATGCCCAGTCTCAGTCATTGTCTCAGTGTGCCCTGGGGGCGGGGCTGGCACATCAAGAATGATCCCTGGTGCCTGCATCTGTCTTAAGCAGGCGCTTTAATCTATTGAGCTATCCTGCTGGCCCCCTCTTTTTTTGTTTTCTACAGGGTCTTACTACATGGTTCAGACTTGTAGTGACCCTCGTGTCTCAGCCTCCTTAGCGCTGGGATTACAGGCATGCTTATCATGCTGGATTCTCGGGCTGGCACAGAAGTGGAATTGGGACTTCGCTCACCAGGGAGGCGCTCGCGCCACTGAGCTATCTCCCCCACCCTATCTTTTATTTTGGTATTTTTCTAGGACTTTTAGAATCATTCCCAGTTTTCTTTCTTGTGTATATAGATTAAAAACTTTGTATTTCTTGGCATAACATTGCAACTACCTTTTAAAATACTCTCAATTTGTTTTGCTGAGGATAAACCCAGGGCCTTCTACATGGGAGGCAAGTGCTACATGGAGCTACATCCCTAGCCTCTACTAACTTGTTTCTGAGCTTTAATCTTGGCTGAGAGAAATGTCTTAACCTTTTTAGTAGTGCCCCTGATAGTTTTGAAAGCATCTAAATAGTTCTAAACTCATTAGCTACACCAAGACATAGAAAATCACCTCTTCTCCAGGACTTTCTTTTTCCATCTAATAAGAGTGGCTTTAGAAGTAAGCGGAAGATTGTCTAAAGTTTGAGTCCAGTCTGTGCTACATAGTGAGTCCAAGGCTTGCTTGAATTTAATGAGACTCTGTCTCAAAGAAAAAGTAAAAATTTGGGTGATAGTGCTGCACATGAGAGTTGGTGTTAAATAAGAGTGCTCCAACTACCTGGGCATGATGGTACATTCCTGTAGTCCTAGTATGAGGCTGAGGCAGGAGGATTGTAAATTCAAGGCTAGCCTGGGCTACACAGTGAGTTCAAGACTACATAGTAAGACCGTGTCTGAGAAAAACGTAAACCAAACAAATGAAAGAGTGTTGTTTACAACTACTGCTGAGTCATGCTTAGTGCTGACAGGATTTCAGAAAATGTCTTGGGCAGTCACAACCCCTCAGAGTAAAATGTTATGTCAGTTACCTTATCTGTCTTGCCTTGTGGACTCATGACCGACTTAGATTTGTTATATAAAGGCAAATTCCAGAGTGGCCGTCCTTGACCTACGTGTGTGAATCGCCCTTATTTTTAGTCAGAATTTACCCATGCATTTTGTGTCTTTCTTCCTCTTCATGCTTCTCATTTGCTGCCATGCCCTTGCTTCCGCCTCTCTCCTCCCACCTCCAGTGTGAGCTGTGTTCTACTGCCTAGAAGAGCATTACATTAGTGAGAGACAGAAAGCTCTTTAGGGTATGTAGCCTTCATTTTCCTCTTTTTTTTTCTTTCTTTTTCTTCCCAGTTCTTTTTATCATTTATTTATTTATTTACTTAAGTATGTATTTGGTACAAGGTCTTAGTACTCCCTGGGATTATAGGAATGCACCACCATACCCAGTTTTGTTGGCCACATAACACATCCAGAGTTCCTGGGCAGCACATGATGTACCATGGATCGAACCTGAGTCCTTGGGTTTGCCAGGCAGGTGCTTAGACCACTGAGGTTATCTGCCCAGCCTACAAAGCCCACTTCTTATCCTTAAGGAGTTTACTGAGTGAAAGAGAGGGCAGTATACCTGAAAACAAACCTAAGTGTATATATGACATAAAAATATATTTAAAAATGTACCTAGTAAATGAAATAAGAAAAGGGAAAAGGTCAAACTTATAAGCCACAGAGATTAAAGCTACCTAAAAGAGGTGGCACTTGGATTTCTTTTGGCTTCCAAGAGCCATCTAGCCATCATTCACTACACTGGGCTTCTACCTGCTGTGCCAGGCTATTAGAAAGCTCCCATGACCAAAAAAAAGATATAAAAGAGAACATGTCTGTCCATGTAGCCACCATTGCTCCTGAGTTAAACAAGCTGATACCATTGAACAGAGAACCTGGTAGAGGGAGGATATTGATTAAATTACTGATATGAAATTACTGAATTTGACAATCAGACTTCCTGTCTTTTTTTCAGTTGAGAAACAACTGAGAATTTGCATCTATTGTGCATTAGAGATATTTAGATTAAAAGAATAAATGGGGGGCTGGTGAGATGGCTCAGTGGTCTAAAGCACCTATTTAGAACAAGCTTAGCAGAACACAGGAACCACAGTTCAATCCCCCCAGCACCACATGCCAGCCAGCCCCGCCCCCTGGTGGGCTGAGCTACCCCCCCACAAATAAATAAAATTAAAAAAAAAAAAGAAAAAAAAGAATGGATGGCCTCTTAATTTCCCAGATTAAAAACTCATTAGTCTGACAAATGTGGGGGCCCTAAGACTGGTAGGGTGGGACTTGGGGCCAGGTAATTCCAAGGATATTTTTTTTCCCATAATTTTATTGAGAAACAAATAGCAATGAGATAGTTTCAAACCAAATTGGTAGGACAGTTTCAATAATTAACATATTGCATAATTCTTCCTAGTGGTTATTTGTTGTATAAGATGCAGGCATGATACCCTATTTACAAACACTATTACAACAAATCCCTCTATTCATTTAGAGAATGTAACTATATAACTATCCTAACCATTTCGAATATACAGATACAAAATGGACATTCATCTGTATCCCCTTTTTTGTTTAATTCTGTCATTTGAATATTATAGGTGTGTTAACTCAGCAAAATATTGTAAGAGTCCAGAGTCCATAATAGTATTGGGTCTTCCACTTGACTGGCAATGTCAGAAATTGTTGATCTGAGTCCCCTACAGCTCAACATAACACCATGGCTTTACTTCTGATACTTGGTTTTTATACTTTTCTGCTGGATGGTTTAGACCAACATAAAACAAGACCTATGCAACAAGAGTTGTAGCTTTTGGGTCTGATAAGGTCAGTGAAATCCCCTCAGGATTTATGCTGAGATCCTGTGCCTCAGATTGTAGATCCTTTGTCAGTGTCAGCCATGTGGATGAGTCACGGCCATTACTTGGCCAGTGTGCTCTCTGTGAAAGCCTGAGAGAATGTTTCTCTCCATGTGACTCTCCTTAGGCACACTCTATATCATCGATCACTTTCCTGTTTGGCCCCATAATCTTCTTGATCAGAACAATTGGGACACTACTGAGTTACATGACATTACAGTACAAGTTCTCATATGTCCTGAGTCTTAGTTGACCTTGGAAGGTTAGGGCCAAAATGTTGGCATTCCTTGTAGCCCTCCTTTTTCTCTAATTTTGGTCTGCAAACTAGGTTGTTAACCATCCAGAAGACAAGCTTATTGTTATTACCATACAATCTAGGCTGTTAAGCTTAACCTTACTATCTGTCTGAATATCAAACATCTTAGGCATAACATGAAACAGGTATTTTTCATCAAGTATCGATATGTTGAACTTTAAGTCCCTACAGAATATGATGAAAAACATTTAAAAATTAGAATATATTTTAAAAATAGGCATAAAGAATTATATAATTCTTATGTTTATACGTAAGTCCAAAAATCTAACCATATACAGCCTTGAAGCAGGACAGTCCCACAGCATTCTTTTTCCTGTCTCCTGCCTTCATTCCCCACCCCCTTTTTGAACAATTATGTACCCGAGAGACAGCACGGCAGCAACTGGCATGTCATGACAAGCAGCCCATATTCAGAAGATTAGAATGACAGGCACCCCAAGCATGAATCTACTATTACAAATTTCCATCAGTGCAGTTGCTTAGTTCACAGGTGGCAGTATATATTGTTAAGGTGAGAATCATTCCAATTAACGGCTAGATTCAAAAATCTTCTGAAGATTCTCAGGATCATTGCCTTGCCCATCTTCTGCATATCACTGTATGGCTTGTCACTGTCATGTTTCCTGGCTCTTCTCCTTTCCCTCTCTTAGTTAGTCCTCGAGTTCTTGCTTTCCTTTTACTTGTATTACACCTTTCTATTTGTATTTCTTCTTTTAAGTTCTTATATTAGGGAAACTATATAATATTTAG